AGCTGTAATACACACCCTTAAAAACACATTTTAGTTTCAGTGGGGCATTGTTGGGGGCCCTTTTGTGACCTGGACCTCTCCTTATTGTGCAGATATAGTAATGTCCAGTGTGAGCAGAGTTGCATTTGCAGTCATGCGCTATTTCTAAATCTCTTCCCCACGTCAAGATAATACATTTATGTGCAGTCGCAAAGCATCTCCAGACTGCATTCAGATCCCACATTGCCCCAATTTAAGCAGAGTGCAGTGTAAGGTCCCGAACAGAGCGGTGCCAAAGCTGAGGGCCCGTCTGCGTCCTTCCAAACGAAGACACATCACGGTCTGTAAATCACTGTAAAACTGTATCCAACTTTCTGTCCACCTGAGGAGCAGAGGAGCCACTCTCTTGAAGGACACATTATATTTTTACACAACACCATGGTTCACGTCTGCTTCTGTGCGCTTGTTTCTTTGCCCCTTACACAACAATCTTTAAAAATGTATCTGAATCTATTTCAGGACCCAGAGGAGTACAAACAAGTGCCCGAACTCCCTGTGAAGATGAGGCCCTGTAGTTTTTGGTTTTGGGGAAAAGTAGAAGCTGTATGGTTTAGAACACACAAATCTGATATTTGATTAATAAAATCTTGTCTGGATTTGTTTACCATTTTTAATTTGACCACAATTAATATCTTGCGCAACCTCAATGCTGCATACGGCCATGGTGACATAGTTAAAAAATAGGCAATTTCAAACAGTAATATGTCTCCTTTACACAGATTCAAGATTTCATGATTCAAGAATTTATTTGCCATTTGCAGTAAAACCACATAGGAAAAACTGTGCAAGACCACCCCAGTGTGCACCAGTTTTTCATTTTTACATAAACACTGTGGTTTTTATGTTAGCCCCTGTCTTTTACAGAAAATACAAGAATTTGTGTTCTGAAGGTGAGTGATAGGGTAATTTTCCGAGGTGAGTGTGAGTGTGTTGGGAACGCTTCTTAATTTGATTGGCTGTAACTTCAGGAAGTATTTTAGAACCAACTCTCGTGAACATTCAGCAAAACATTGAGACGAGACTCCAACACAACTAGTCCTCTTACATATCAATTTTTTTATACAAGGTAACGAGTGCCTCAAACCTCTATTTTGAACCTGACTTTACACTATTTCAAAGCAAAATCGAACTTTTATTGTATTTTGGCTTCAGCTTAAAGGTATTTAGGAGGATTTTGTACTTCCGGGTAGATGATCAAGACTATTGGTCCTCCCACTTGTCAATCATTCTGGTGATAAGTGCTCGTCAAAGAAGACCAGAGAGATTTTTTCAACAAGTGGAGAGGGCGGTTCTTTCCTAAAATTTGTGACAAAAATACCCCCATAGACTTTTAAGACAACAGTGGAGCAACAGTCGTCGTGCTAATTTCATAACTGCTTTATTACCTACTTTTATCACACCTACTCCCTGCAAAACTTCTGTCAGTGCCTATATCTGCAACACGATCTATTTATGAAAGCTCCAGCTATCTGACAGACTGCTGGTTCAGCCAATCACGCTGAACCAGCAGCCGGAGCACGATTGTAAGCAGGCTTCCCAGTAGTTTATGCTGACGTTACTGAGGTTATGCATCACTTTACAATGTTGGAACATGCCGAAAATGGAGGAGACCAGACCAAGTTCAGAGAGAAGCTTCAAATATGCGTTGTCGACAAAATCAAAGTTATTCAAAGCCTATACAAGAGCTCTCTGGGATGACAAAAACCTGCGCCTCACCTGCGTCTTGGTTACAAATCTGCTGGGGAGGCATTTATTTACTATTTAGTAGAAAGCCCTGGACCATTCACTCATGAACAAGGAAAGGCTTTTCAAAGTCTGGAGACATACGATGAATGTGCTGTGAGGAAAGTTGGGGAAATCTCCTCTGCAAAAAAACAATAGTCATGGTTTTTCTAAAAGCAGCTGTCAAACCAAACGGCCACAGTGCATATCTCCAAAGAACAATGACATCACCACTGAAACTGTGAAGCCGGCTAAGTCTGTAGAGTGCCCTCTTTATGTTTATTTATTTTTGGAACGCATTGACTAAGGGATTTTATACTGAGCAATCCTTCTCTAAATAACATCATTGGAATTTACCATACAATTTATGATCCTCACAAACACAATCCAGGCTTTCTTTTGAGCATCCAAGTGTAATTGCCTGATTACCAGCGATCATTTCTTTTGTGCAGAATTTCACAGCTCATTATGGAGGGAAAAAAACATTCTTTTATCTGGCTGCCAAATGACCACCCAAATTGGGCCATCTGCATCACTAAGCCCTGCTGCGAACAAGGGGAAGAAAACATTGTTACTAGGATTGTAACTACCTCAAAATATAGTTTTATTGTAGACTCTGTTGCCTCACTCCTGAAATGCAACTAATGTATAAACAACAATGTCACGACTGATCCACCTGCAGTAACTAACTTAATGCAGAAGCGTGGAGTAGTCTGCACGTCTGAGAACCTGTAGACCGCTGCATTTCAGATTAGCACAACAGGCTTTGATGGTTTTGGGATTCCATCCATCGAACAGGTTTTGTTGAATAGCAACATTGCAATGTTTCTTAAAAATATTGTAATAGCAATTGCTATGAGAAGTTTAATTTTGAGAACAAATATTTCAAGAGAGCTCCTTTTGAAGAAGTCTATATCACACATAATTCACACAATTACAAAGATCTGTAACCCAGTGTTATTCAACCAGTGGGCCTTGGTATGTTTTTTGGTGTGTCTTTAGAATTGTCCAATATCATATAATTGGTAAAATCTCGCTTGTTTGATTTTTTTTTTAAATGAAACACTTTAGGATTACTTTATATGTTAATAAAGTAGTTTCATGTTTTTATAGGTGTACTGTGTTGAGCAACATGTTGACAGTTAATCTAAATGATGCATCTCTTTTTCAGAATGTATATTGAGAGAGTGATGCTTCTGCTCGACAGCAAGAGGAAAGAGAAATCCTCACTCAAATCATGAGACATTTTCCCAAGTGACGGTCTCTTTTTGCAAATTACCTAAATAATTGCAGTCTTTCCAATCAGCTAATTGTGAATTAAAAGTGTGATATTGATTTAATTTAAGATTAATAGTGCAGCCATAGTTCAGAGCACTTCTCCAGAATCACATCAGAGACGATCCAGCTGCACTCACTGACGGCACTTCTACATGAGACAGAGCAATGACTGAATAAAGCCTGTTTTCTCTGCTGCCTTTGGGTTTTCCATTGTTCATGTCAGAGCACACACATACACCCATCAATACACTGACATAATCACACAGTGCACATTTACAAAGGATATACGCAATAAAAATATATATTGTACTAAATGGATTTTGTTTTTTTGAAGTTTGGGCTCAAAGAAATTTAGAGCAAGACCAGCCAAACACTAAAAACAAAAAAACATTAACATTTCAATGGGGTGTTTAAGGGTGACATCATTTTGCACATTATTTTAATTATTCAAATTCAACAAAATTAATTTATTTCAATTTAAGATTTCTTTCAACTTAAAACATTAAAAAAGATACAAAGTAAGCAGAAATATACAGCTTGAAAAAACATAAATGAAACCAACATTGTTATAAACAGCTTTCGGGTGTGAAGAAAAGAATAAAGTGGCTAGAGTTGATCAGGTAAGCTAATGCTATGCTAACAGCGTGCTAAGCTAACACCAACAACTCTTTAAACAAAGGAGATGACTGCGGGTGTGTTGTAGTAGATGTAGTTATGTTTGGAAAGACAACATTATGTTTACAGCCCCGTGTAGACTCTTTTCACACAACCACTGGTAATTAATCATTTTGTTTGGCAAAAATGACTTTTGTCTGAGAGCGGGTACAGTATGTTGTATACAGATCACGTTTACAACAGTAAAGGCCCTGCTAATGTGGCCACCTCTCGTTATAGGATACAGTAAAATGCTAGGAAAAAGGTTGATCACCAGTCAAATTCTCTTTTTAACCATAGTAAACAGTAAATATTTGGTACAGGGATAATTGTCTTAAAACAATAAGACACGATATAGAGAGGGTGCACGAATCTACTTTTTGATATCCCATACGTTTATAATTTTTACTGTCTTTAGTTTTCTGACCACAGCTTGGCAGTCACCCATGAGAGCTGGTATCATCATGAAAAGAGCCTATTCATAAAAGAGTCAGAAGAGGTTTGTCCATCTTTTGGTCACTTCTTTGCATCTATTCTCGATTATAGTCTTTTGCAAAATCAAAATTCCAGTTCTCTGTTCCACGAATCCTCCCGATCTTCAAAAGAGCTCCTTCCATCTGTGTTGGAAAAGGGCGTATGACAGATCCGACTTCACAGTTCACAAAAAAGTCATAATTTACATTTTGCTTGTTTCCCAGTGTTGGGAGTAACGAATCCTTTTTGTAATTACTGTTCTGGCATTATAGAGAAACTTGTGCAACGCTCTAATTGCCTGGTAAAGCACACTCTATGGGGGGGACATAATTTATCTATTCAAGTCAAATGAGTTTGCATTGCCCTAAATCACAACAACAGTCATCTTGGAGGACAAAGTTATCGATTCGCCAAAACACAGATCAGAGAATCACACAGTTCAAACACAGGACTTTTCACTTCACCGGCATGAAATGTAGATATTTTGTTCAGAGTTCTTGGTTATGGTTAGTGACCGTCCTGAGAACTTAAACAAAGGTGCGCTCAGAGCAGTGTCGTAGAAATGGTATTTACATTATAAAATACAGAATTAACCAGACACACAGTCAAATATGAACTTTAGCCTCATCCGTGAGTTTGGCATCACCACCTAACGGCCCAGTCTGCCTCGTGCCTTGAATTAAAATGAATTACAAACTGATAGGTGGAAAACAATAATGTATACAGTATTTACAACAGAGAGCATCCCGCCAAAGCAATTCCACATATAAACCAGCCTGAGGCACTTCACTGCAGTACACCCTGTTTGTCCCTGGTCCGTGCTGCCTCGGTGGTCAGAAGGTGAAGGCGTAGACCACGCCCACCACCACGATGTTGCCGATGGTGGCGATGATGGCGATCCACAGCCAGATGGCGTCAGAGGACATGCTCTGGGACTCCTCCGGCTGGGCCTGTGCCGACGCCGTGGCCGCCGCGTGGACGTTCGCCGACGAGTTGAACAGAGAGTGCTCCCCGCTGTAGTCGTCCATGGGGGAGGAGTCCATGAAGGCCCCCGTCATCACCGGAATCTGCGCAGAGAGAAACAAACTTTTTTGAATTCATAATCATGTTACAATATTGTCTCCAGTGTGTACCAGGAATTCAGAATATTTTATCATAAACCTGGAGCAATCTTCCTGGAAATGTGAGACAATTTTCAGTTTAATTTTTGCAGTAAATGCTGGACTGTAAGAACGCTACTTTTATTTTATTTTATTTTAACTCTGTGGCCTATACAGCGATGCAGCCAATGTACAGTATGTATTTTGTAATTTGTGAAAAAAATAGAAAAAGAGAAATAGTACACCTCCCTCTGGTGGTAGCTTAGTGATAGGACAGTTAAATAATACATTATTTACCTAAGTGTTTCACCATACACACATGCTATACTTTCTAAACTTGAAATGGCAAAGCAAACAGTATCATTAGGCCTAGCGCACATCGACAGAGTAACTGGAGACAACTAGTTGCAAGGCGGCTTTTGGTAACTTAGAGTAGATGATGGGAGACGATCAACTGGAGATAAACAGTCGATCTCGGATTCAGTCAGTTGCCCGTGTTCTACTTTTCGGCAACTAGTTATCCTCACATCCGGAGATATCACCATATGTGCGCACTCCTAATAGATCCATGGCGCGCTCCAACAACATGTGTGTATTGCGCGCCCTCTACAGTTTATGTCAGAAAACACACTGTAGTTGAGGCCAGTTGCTGTCGATGTACGCGCTGTTATTCCCGAGACTGGCCTGCTACTGGGAGTTGCCCGTTTTCGCCACATTGTCAATATACGCTAGGCATTAGCCTTTCAAATAGCACAGAATATTGCACAATATTTCTTCTTTAAAAGTTTATTGTTGTGTTGCAGATAATACATTTTTCATTCGTCGTTCGTCGTTGTCAACATCATATTTAAGAACCACCATGAAGACTCAATGCACACAGTTGCTCATTAGTCTTTATTGACTCAATCCCACAAAGACCATTAAGGGAGGAAGCCCCTCACACTGACATCATTACTGGACATTTTAAAGCCAGGTCCCCAAACTATTCCTGCATGAGTCGACTCACTGTTTAGGGAGCGCGCCTTAATTACCCCCTATGAATATTTGAACGCCAACCAGGAAAATGATTTATGCCTTAGCACAATGTGAGTGTCTTAAGCAGAGGGGGAAAGGGCTGCTATAAATACTTCCACATGCACATCTACTGCGGATGTATCGTCGTTCCCACGCAGAGAGCACATCCCGGGGAACGACAGCCCAGCGGGGGGCTGAAACCTCGGGTCAGTCTTCAAAATGCAATGTCGGTTCTGGGAAGTTGTAAACATTGGCAACTGTATCTACATTAGAGGCGGAAAACAGCTCTGTACATTACATAATAGACTGTTTAGTAGAGTTGGAAAGGAGAGCATTTAGACAGAAGGGGTGGGAGGGAGTTTTTGAGCCGAAAGTTCACGATATTAGCATGGTTGAAGCCAAAAACCACTCCAGATCTGAATTGAGTAGAGGCAAAAATTTAGCCAGTCCTGCAGAAACACAAACAACCACACAGTTATTATTTCAACAAAGCTGTAAACAACGAGATGGATTTGGACCAAGCCATACTTTCTGTTCAAAAATATTATGAAACTGAGGATTTGAAGCCAGAACAAAGAGGAAGCTTAAAAGACGTTATTGTACTGTTTCCATCATACGTCACAACCAAACAGCATGAACTGGTTCAAGCTAAACGGGACCAGCCCACACCATAACATTACCATTTCAGACGGTTTCTACAAAGTGAAGTCAAACTGTTTGATGCATCAGGCTTGGAACAATGCTGTAACTGGGTAAAAACCTCAAAGAAAATGTTTGCATATTATAGTCGGCCTGTGTCCTTAACTCCACCCTGCCTCATTAAACAAACAAAGCAAAAGACTCCCAAAGCGAGCTAATACAACCCGGATCACAAGTTCCATAATGTGTCCTTAACCCCACACTAATAGCCCATTTCACACTGCAGTTTCCTTGTTTATGAATTGCTCTCGTGCTGAAGACAGATTTTTTTCTCAGAGCTTTGCAGATGAAAGTTCAGTCCGTAAAGTAAAGCCATCGACTTTAAATGTAAACCTGTGCTAATGCTGGGTCTGGTGGGAACGGGGAGAGGCAGAATTTTTGCTCATATTTTTCATCTCTTTACAGTTTCAGTATTTGTGGCAAACCTTAAGCCCTTCCTCATTCAGTAATTGATGAAAAATTACTACCTTAATTTTTTATTCTGTGGTCAGTTTTCCTAATTCCGTGTAATTATTCTAATTTATTCTTGTTTTGGAGTCTTTGGAGTACAATTGCTGGACTTTGTCAATCTGATGCCCTGTAGATTTGATGACTAATTTTACTTTGACGGGGAATAACCTTTCAATTAATTGAGTTGAATCAAACTACACACATGCACCTATCATCAAGCATCAACCTTCACCGGCTGAATTGAAACAGCATCTCTGAGTCTCGTGCAGCAACCTGCCTCCTCCCCATACCGGCACAATATAACCTCAGTGGGTTAATTATTTTTCCTATATCATAAAAAAGGCGGTTCTCCAGAATGTCACTAAACTTGGGTTCAACAAATGGTTTGTGAGCAGTAAAAAGACAGAGCCACTAAGATTCTTGAGTTTTTGTCGTTTGCTACAATGTACTGTATGGGTTTGAGCTTCCCTTTTCATGCAAAAAATGTAGGTCCCTTTACAAGATACAGCACAGTACTATAGTTTTATTTATTCAACACTTTGTCACATGGATACCTGCATGCAAACAGTGATATTTCTCCCCCACTAACAACACAACATAACCTAAAAATAAAATGATTCTTGACAGTGAACCTGCTAATTGCATGTCCCCATACACACACATACACCTACACACACACACACACACACACACACACACACACACACACACATACACCTGCACACACACACACATATACACCTGCACACACACACACACACACATACACTTGCACACTCAAACACACACTTACACACGTACACATTGGCCCCTGGTGGTAGATAATGGCATGACGCATCGGCTCTGAACCTTCTCCTGTTCCTGCGAGAGTAATGCAGGCGGACAGGCGTGTGTAAACTAAACCCCCACTTCCCCCGCCACAACAGCTTACCCGTCACGCCAACGCAGAGGAAAATAAAACTATATTTTGTTTCTCATAGGGACCCATATGTGGCTGATGAATACGTAGAGGTGGGAGTACATGATATCGTATTAGTAGTGGTTAACTAATAATCAGCTCAGAGAGGCTTTTAGTGACTCAAGTGTCTCTCCATGATTATACAGCTCAAAGTTAATTTATTTCTGTAATTCACAATAACATGTGTGACAAAAATGTGATAAATACTCCTCACATTTAAAGTGACTTATGCCAAGCCTTTGATGAATACGGCTCATTGCTCATTTTCAGAATATTCTAAATTTCTAATATATATATTTTTTTGACTTGACAAACCCAAATATGTGTAATGAGTCTGCTTGTAATATATGCACTTTTAATCATAGTCTGATCGATGAAGATGTTTATTTCAGTTTGAAATCATCTTTTTGCTACGAAGTTTAATCCTCAAATGCACTAGATCAGGCATGTCATATTCAGGCTCGTGGGTCAAATCCGGCCAACAAGAAAATGTTAAGTGGCCCCTAGATTTACTTTAAATTATTATTAACTTGCAGCATGATGTCTATGGGCAACCAAGGCATTGTCTTTTATTCAACAAGTTTAACCCAACACATTATTTTCGTTCAATGTATACAATAAACACATACAATAAACCAGAAAATAAGAATGAAACTCATGTCAAATAAAAGCCATGTCAAAATATACCTTCATAATGTTAAAAACTATTTTAAGAAAAGGAAATCCATTCTATTATTTCTGCCCCTGACCAGTTCCTTTTTCTTTTATTCGGCCCCTGACCAAAACGACTTTCACTTTCGGCACTAGATGGGAGAAAAAAAGAGAAACCCCCAAATATGGAGAAACTAAAGTTGGGCTTTGTAGCTTTAAGTCAAACTTGTTGTGTTTGCGTCCGACTCGCCTCCCCTCGTCCTCTTCTATACAACATTAAATCGGCCTCTTAGTTTCATGTGAAAGCTACCGGTGCCTCTCAGCCTGTCCACATGTTTAATTCAGCCAAACGCATCGTCCAGGATGTGTGTACCGGATCCAATCAGCGGCGTACACGGTGCATCCACACACTGAGCCGCGCTAAATATTTGAACGCTTGCATTTCTATTTCCAGAACTTCCCGTAGACGAGATGAGGTAATTAGCACAGTTGTACGTATCATGGTTTTAACTATAGCGTGCAACCAGGACAGTGCCCCAGGTTAGTGGAAGCAGAGAGGCCTGGTGTCGATAAGGGCTTTTGTGTAGCCTAATTTAGAATCGACTTCCATCCATCCATCCATCCATTTTCTACCCTTTAATCCATTTCTGGGTCAGGGGGGTGGCAGTCAGAGATGCCACCCAAGTCTCATAGCACCAGCCCCTCACTGACCCTCTGCAGGTGGTGAGTCCACAGGAGGACGGCTGCTCTCTGAGTGTGAGCATAGCCTTGATCTTTCAGTGGGGGCTTTTGGGCAAAGTGGGGTTAAGTGTCTTGCCCAAGGACACAACGACAGCAGTCATCAGTGGGAGTCGGTGGAGAAGGTGTAGAGGTGGGAATTGAACCCACAACCTTCAGGCCTTAAGGCCAATGCTCTACCAACTGAGCTACTGTCGCCCCTGCAGCTACTGTCGCCCCTGCTAGAATCGACTTGGACTGGGAAATTATGGAGACACAGTTTTATTTTGAGAATTGTATTGTTGATGTTCCACAATAGATTTAATTTAAACTTTATATATACATTATCTATTTTTGTTTAAATTTCTCCTTTTCTCTTATTTTTTGTGTCAAATAACTGTGCTTGTGCTGTCTGTGGAATATGTATTGATTAATGTAAGACTGCAAAAAAAAGTAACTAATAAAACATAAATTACAA